CCCCCCCCCCGAGCCCCTTGGGTTTTGCAGAGCCGTGGCCTGACCAAACCTGTGTGCCCGCTGCTCCCTGCCAAGTCCAGACCTCCTCCTGCCCCGGTCCCTCTGCTGCCACCTCCCTCCTGCCTCCACAGCCACGCTTGTCCGAGAACGGACACCGCTCGTGTCACGGAGCCCAGAGCCCTTCACCCTTTTGCGGGTAGGAAACGGGCTGTGTCGTCCCAGCTGGGGAAACTGAGGCACGGGGTGGGGAGGCGATGTGCACCAGGCTGCTCGGCCAATCCCCGGCAGGACGCGGGCATTAACCCTGCATGGGGCGAGGCTGCCCCGGGTGTGCAGGAGCTCCCTGCCAAAACCAGTGGTGGTATCGGGCCCCTCACCCCGGAGCCCCTCGCGCCCGACCCGTCTCCGAAGCTCCCGTCCCAGCCACGACAGTGCTGCCAGGCACGCCAGGATCCAGCTCCCCCCTCTCCCTTGCCAGGCCCCCGGTCCTGGCTCCCCAGCGTGCCTGCTTTCCCCCTCAGCCCCAGCATGACTTCTCCAGGCAGGCCCCGGGGCTCCCGGCCTGGGACCTGGGCCCGGCCTGAGAATAAACCATACAGCGTTCAGCAGCCCCTCGACACCCACGCCGCCCCCAGAGCTGCTGAGTGCCCAACCCAGCCTGCTATCCTCCTCCCCCTCTGCCGGGCAAGGAAACTGAGGCACCGCTCACCCACCCGCAGTCATCAGCATGAAAGGGGAGACACCTCCGGCATCTGCCCCTCACCACCCCTTCAGGCCTGCCGGCTTGAAGTCTGCAGCCCCCCAGACTCGCAGCCCACCACCCTGCCCCAAGCAGGCTCGTCCTGGCTGATGGAGACCGCGGCCCGCGGAGCCAGCATCTCACCAGAGCCGGGTCCTCCAGCAGGGCGCGGAGAGCGTGCCGTGCCGGGCGTCGGAGAGAAGTGGTTGTGAGCTCTGGCCTGGGCGTGATGCACTGAGGCAGCGTGCACACACTGCTCCAGGGCGAGCTACGCCCACGCGCCCACTCCCTGCCTGCAATTACCTCGCCAGGCCCTGCGCACGCACAACTCATTGGGGGGGGCGGGAGGGAGGGAGGGGAGCCAGTCCCTAAAGACACACAATCCCGCCTGATTCATCCCCAGGCTGTGACTAACCATCGTTGCCCGCAGGACGCCTGCCCTGGGAAGAGCCTCTCCCAGGCCAGGGAGGTGACGGAGCAGGGGGCGGACACGGCTCTGGGGTCGCTGTCCCCGGCTACAGCCCCCGTGGAGGCTCAAGGGGGGAAGGAACGAGCCGAGATGGGACGGTGAGACCCGTCCGACCGGGGGAAGCCACGCACGTGCGTCTCACATGTCTGCCATGGGCACGTACGCACCCTGAAGCCCTGGGAGCAGCCTGGTGCCTGCACCTTGCACCGAGCCCTGCACACCTCCCAGCCCCAGTCCCTGGCTCTGGGCAGCCCGGCACTGGGAGACGGGTCGGCCGCTTGCCCTGGCCCGTAAATCCCTGGGTGCCCACGGTGCCCGATGGAGGTGGGAGGATCTCAGTGGCACAGCAAAGCCAGAGGAGGCTCTGGGGAGCCCCTGGTTCTCGCACCTCCGGCAAGACACCCAGCTGCTCGGTGCCTTGGTTTCCCGAGGGCGAGACACTGACTCATGGTGGGGAGGTGGGCTGCGAGGCAGGGCCGAAGCCGCTCACCTGGTGGAAGGAGCCAGGGAAGGGGCTTCCTCCCACGCCCTCTCCTTCCCCGCCCCGCTGCTGGGGACGGGCTGGGCTGTCCTTGAGCGGAAAAGATAATCGCGGGCAGCAGGTGGGGTGGGGCACAGCGCGGCCAGGAGGGCAACCCGGCCGGCCCCGTGGCATCCGGGAACATGACTCACAGCAGGGCCACGGGTGCAGGGGGGAGCGCGGCCGAGGAGCTGCTCGTGGGGACGGCCTCTTGGTGCTCTCAGCCCCCAGACGAGCCACGGACACAGGCGGAGCGGTGACACCAGAGCCTGCCAACATACCCACGCCCCTGGGGCCTGGGCGTGCCCTGCCTGCTGTGTGCAGTGCTGGGGACTCTGCTACTGACACACTGTGTGGCCTTGGGTGAATCCATTTGCTGTGCCTCAGTTTGCCCCTCTGGAGTCCAGTCCTATATGTTGCCCCCCACCTGGGGCACTGTAAGGGCTTGTCAGCATGAGGCCAAAAGATGCCGAGCTACAGGTGAGGTGGCGGTGGTCCTAGGTGTCTGTCAGGGCAGGGGGGGAGCGCAGCACGCACCTGGTTCATCGACTCATAGATGTTAGGGTCGGAAGGGACCTCAACAGGTCATCGAGTCCGACCCCCTGCCTGGGCAGGAAAGAGCGCTGCCAGCCAGATGCCCATTCAGCCTTCTCTTAAAGACCCCCAAGGCAGGGGAGAGCACCACCTCCCTTGGCAGCCCATTCCAGAGTTTGGCCACCCTTACCATGAAGTTTTTCCTGATGTCCAGCCTAAATCTGCTCTCTATCAGTTTGTGATCATTGTTCCTTGTTACCCCAACAAGTGCCCTGGTAAACAGAGCATCTCTGATCCCTTGCTGCGTCCCCCTAATGAATTTGTAGGCGGGCACAAGACCCCTCTCAGCCTTCTCTTGCAGAGGCTGACGAGGTCCAGGTCCCCCAGTCTCTCCTCGTAGGGCCTTGCCTGCAGGCCGCTGACCATACAAATGGCCACTTCTGAACCCTCTCGAGATTGTCCGCATCCCTCTTGAAGTGCGGCGCCCAAACCTGGACGCAGCACTGCAACGGCGGTCTGAGCAATGCCGCACACAGAGGAAGTATCACCTCCCTGGATCTATTCGTCATGCATCTGCTGATGCATGGTAGCTTTGCCGATGATTTCGTCACACTGATGACTCGCATGTTGGTCTTGGAGTCAGCTATGACTCCGAGATCCCTTTCTGCTGCTGTGTTGCTGACAGGGTCACTTCCCAGCCAGTCGACGTGCTGGATATTTTTGTGCCCTAGATGCAGCACGCTGCACTTGTCCTTGCTGTCCTGCATCCTATTGTGTTCTGCCCACTTTTCTAACCTGTCCAGGTCTGCCTGCAATCGTTCCCTACCCTCTGGAGCGTGGACTTCACCCCACAGTTTAGTATCGTCTGCAAACTTGGACAGAGTGCACTTCACACCCACATCCAAGTCACGGATGAAGACACTGAAGAGTACAGATCCAAGGACCGAACCCTGCGGGACCCCCCTGCCCACATCCTTCCAGGTCGATACCGACCCATCTACTACCACTCTCTGGGTGCGACCGCTAAGCCAATTTGCCACCCACCAGCCCGTGTAAACATCTATGTCACAACCTCTTAATTTCTTTATGAGAATAGGATGAGACACCGTATCGACGCCTTGCTGAAGTTCAAGAAAACGACACCCACCTCGACTCCTGCGTCTAAGCATTTTGTGACCCTGGTGTCAGGAGCCATCCACTGAGGTGCAGACCCCACCTCCAGCTGCCCAGGGAGAGGGTATGGCCATGTGGCACAGGGCACAGGCCCGACACAGGGCAGCGGGAGCTGGCCTGGGTGACCACAGCTGGGTGGCAGGGGGCAAGCCAGGTGGGCCCCTGTGTGAGCTGACCCACAGGCCCGGCTGCCGCCAGGGCCTCGATTCCAGCTCCCAGGACAGCAGGGACAGCCAGGAGGGTGACAGTGCCCTGCATGCTTCCACACCAGGGTGCTGGGGGGTGGCATGGCACCTCCTGCCCAGCGCATGGACAACACAGCCGTGCCTGGAGGCTGGCCCCGGAGGCTGCTCCACCCAGGCCCTGCCGGGCCGGCTGCCAAGCAGCAGCTATGGCGGGGGCGGGCTTCGCAATGCGGGCACCTGCTCCGTGGGGCCGGCGGCAGGAGATTGGGCTCCAGTCACGTGCCCCCTAAACACCACGACTCGCCCAGGCCGGGCATCGGAGCCCTCCCGGCCCAGGAGAGATCCTGGCTTTACTCCGGCGGGGCCAGGCCAGTCTCTGGGGGTGGCGCACGCCTGGTGCCCGTGGGGAGGCATCAGGCTTTTCCAAGGGGTCCAGTTCACCCCTGCCTGCTCTGAGAGCCTCAAGGAGCTGCCACCAGCTCCCAGCCCTGCCCTCATGCTGCCCCGCACCCTGGTCACTCCTGTCCGAAGCCGCGCGCGCACACACACAGCTCTGCCGGTGCCCCTCACTCCCAACCCGCAGTCCCTGCTAGCCCAGCTCTGACCCTCCCCGTATTGCTCTGCCCATGCCCCCCAGGGTACAAGCAGACAGAGTGGGCCGTGCCACCTCATTGCAGTGCCCTCGGGAGAGGATGCAGAAGGAAAGACCTGGGCGGTGACAGGGGCACGGGTCCAGGCACAGAGCCCATCTGCCCAGGGGGACGGGGGAGGAGGGAGCTGCGGCCTCCCGGTACGATACCTGCCCTCGATGACTGTGATGACGTCGTTCATCTGGATGTGCAGCTTGTCGGGTTCCTCGAAGTCCTGGAGCGCCCTCATGTCCGTCGGCTGAGCCTGGGGCAGGGCACAGGGGGCACCGTGAGGGCTGGCCATGCCCAGCACCCTGGCCCTGCACCCTGGGCAGACCCAGGCTGCTGCCTGGAAGAGGGCTGCACCCAGGCCCCGTGCTAGTGTCTGGAGGTCAGTGCTGGGACCCCTGGGACTGCTCAGAGCCCCAGGAGAGCTCCAGGGACCCACTCTGCAGTCGGCGGGCATGGGATGGGGTCCAGCCACGTTAATCTCTAGATGCCCTTGCTCTAGCAAGCACCATGCCCCCATCTCCCCCCGCAGACAGAGTTTCTGGGGGCACAAGATGATGCCCAAGGACACAGACAGGAAGAGAGGACTGCTCCCCCCTCCCCTAACCACTAGTTCCCACTGCCCTCCCAGGGGCAGGCGGAGAACCCAGGAGTCCTGTGGCTCCAGCCACCAGCCCACACTGCCCTTCTACGGCCAGTAAACACTGTGTTGGATGGAAAAGGGGTTGCATCCCCGGAAGCTAGCATCCCTATCATCCCCTGGCACCAGGCCATGTTGGACCGGGGAGATGCCAGGTCCTTTCGGGAGCTGGGGAGCGCGAGGGCACAGGTGCAGCTGTCTAGGGACCAGCCACACCGTGGCCACCTACCTCCACTAAGAAGTCACGCAGGGCCAGGAAGGTGGGTCGGTCCTCAGGCTTGTGGGCCCAGCACTGCAGCATGACGTTGTAGATGTCCTGGGGACAGTCCTCGGGCCGTGGCAGCCGCTCCCCCTCCTTGTCAATCTTGTGCAGGATCTGCAGGACGGGGAATGCCAAGGTCAGCAGAGGGGAGGGCATAGGGGTGGCAGGGGCAGGCAGGGAGGGGACTGGTCTGAGGAGGAAGGTGCTGAGTGGCAGAATGAGTGTCCGCAGCCCTGAGAGGCTCTGCTGAGCCCCACGGACCGGCTGCAGGGCAGGACGCAGATGCTGGAGCACATGGGGGGGGGCATCATGGCATTGCTGTGCAGCCCACAGCACCGGGGTCACGGTGCCTGGCCTGGCATGGGCAGTAGAGATGGGCCCCAGCCACCAGACTCTCAGGCCCATGGGGGCAGGGGGCTCTCCCCACGGCCAGGGCTGGGTGCAGAACCAAGGAGTCCTGGCCGCCATCCCCCAATCTGTCCTGTTCTCCAAGCACTGGCAGCCCAGGACGGGCACCATGGCCCTGCTGCCCACCTGGCTGCCGTTGAGGCCGATCCAGGGCTCCTGCCCGTAGGTGAACATCTCCCAGAGGGTCACCCCAAACATCCAGGTATCACTGGCGTGCGAGAAGGTGCGTGTCTTCAGGCTCTCGGGGGCACACCTGCCCAGGAGAAGGGCACGTGGGGTTACTAAGGCCGGCGGCACCCCCCACCCCTTCAGAAGCACCCTCCAGCCCTGCTGGGCTCTGCACACCCCAACACGACAGAGCTGGTCAGGGACACTTAGGATGTATTCATTGCACTTCTCAGGCCAGCACCTGCCCGTCCAAGCAGTAAGACGCAGCCAAGTGTCCTGGTAGAGGCACAGCGCTACAGCTTTCCGCGGCAGCAGCGTACAAACGTGTGTTCAGGTACGGCCGCACATGATACAAAGGGCGGGGATGTTGTTCCCAGCCCTGGCACTGCGTGGACTGGCTCTGGGGTGGTATCAGGGCTGGAGTGACCATCAGCAGAGACCCAGCTCACCCCATGAATCCAGAGTAAGGGTGGCACCCCCTCTCGGGCTCAGCTCCCCATGCCGTGGGGGCTGCACATCCTCACGGGTGGACGTGACGATTCGTGTCTGGGTTGGAGGAGGCACAGCTGGCTCCAGCCCGGTCCACAGCAGGCTGAGATCTCAGCAAGCATTTAATGTGCAATGGCTCAGGACACGTTCTGACTTGTCACCAGGCATGTTGATGGATGGCTATTACTATCCTGCTCAGGGCTGCCCAAGGTACGGCCCATGGAGCAGTATCTTCTGGCCAGCAGCGCTGCCTGGGGGTCGCAGGCTGGCATGCCACTGGCAGCATGTGCTGGCCCTGTCTCACCTGTGTGCCACGACCTTCTGCAGAAGCCCCGAGGATGGCAGGAATAGGGGGCCCAGCTCCTGTGTGCCCAGGGGCAGGACTGAGGAGATGCCCCTGCTCCACGGAGGGGGAAAATGCCAGGCCTGGACTGTGGCAGATAGTGGGGGGGTTCTCACCAGGCAAAGGGCACCTTGCGGTGCTCCTGCATAACGTAGTGGTCGTCGTTCTTGGGCAGGGCCCGCATGAGTCCGAAGTCGCCAATCTTGACCAAGTCGTTGGCAGCCAGGAGGATGTTGCGGGCGGCCAGGTCGCGGTGGATAAAGCGCTTGGACTCCAGGTAGGCCATGCCCTTGGCGATCTGCACGGCGTAGCGGCACAGTGTGGCGATGAGGAAGTGGCCCTGGTTCTTCCGCAGCCGGTCCAGCAGGGAGCCCAGCGGCGCCAGCTCTGTCACCTGGCACAGGGGTGGGGGGACAGAGTCAGGCCCTCTCAGCCCCAGATCCAGGCCCTCCATCTCCCCCACTGCCCCGTCCCCGGCCTCACCATCTTCATGGGGTGGGAGAGCACGACGCCGTAGAGCCGGATCAGGTTGCGGTGGTCCAGGGAGTGCATGGCGTTCACCTCCCGGATGAAGTCGTCCAGCACCTCGGGCTGGCTCAGCACGTCTGTCTTGAGGCACTTCACGGCCACGCTGAGCTGCAGCCGGGATGGGGGCGGTCAGAGGGCATGGCCCCCGGTGCGGCTGCCTCTGGGGTGGAACGCGGCAGCCACCCCGGAGTGGGCAGGGAGGGTTGAGAGGGGAAATGGCAGCTGCTGCTGGGTGTTACAGTGCTGCGGGGGATGACTGCCCTCAGGGACCCCAAGACCTTCCCTCCCAGGGATGGGGGTACCAAAAAGCGAGCTGGCACCGGGGTGTGGATCCTCCCAGAGCTGGGGGGCAGTCGCAACCTCTGGAGGCCCCAAGCCAAGTCCTGGGGGAAAGGACGCAGGCTCTGGTGCAGTGCCCAAACTGGCCCCTGGTCCCAGGAGGGCTTTGAAGGCTGCAGTGTTATGGGTGGGACGTGAGCCCTGCCCCTGCCCCACAACCCAAAAGGAAGGTGGTTTCAAGCCCCCAAGGGCAGGTGTGGGGGGTGGACCGGCAGCTTCCCCAGGCAGGAGAGATGTGCCTGCAGGTTGAGGGGTGCACGCTGGGAGCCCCGCAGCGGCTGTCTGGAGTCAGATGGACTGGCATGCCGAGTCCCCGCACCTGGGATCGGGGCCCTGCCCCCCCCGTGCCCCGTACCGTCTTGCCGGAGGGCGTGGACCACTCGCCGCGCCGCACCACGCCGAAGGAGCCGTCGCCCAGCTTCTCGAGCAGCGTCAGGTCCCGCTCGCTGATGAGGCAGGTCAGGGCGGGCTGGCTGGTCCCCTCAGGGGGCGGCGGAGGTGTGGGCGGCTTCCGGAAGGTGCTTTGGGGCTGGGGGGGGAACTCCGACTCGGGGCGCTTCCCGCTGAACACCTGCATGGACAGACGGACAGGCCGCCCACGTCACAGGCACACCCCAGGGCTCCTTCCTTGGACTCCAACAACACCCCCCCCCGACCATTTTGATGGGAGGGATGCAGGTCTCAAGGAACGGGAGAGGAGAGCAGAGCCCCTGCAACTCTCCGTGGAGAGGCCAGGACTCTTGGGTTCGACCCGAGGCTCTGAGTCACATTCCTGCTCCGTGCCTCAGTTTCTCCACCTGCAATGGCGGAAGTGGAAATGATGGCAGCCTGCAGCTTGGAGGTGTCCAGCTGAAAAAGCTGTCCCAGGCGTCTGCTCCACCCCGTGCCAAGGGGACGGTCACCCCCGCTTGGCTTCCCGCCCGGCGTGGCAGGAGAAGAAGCAGCCCTGCACCCTTGCGCTGGGTCCCCGTCTCTTAGCCCTACCCCAGAGAGCTGAGCCCGTGCCCCGCGGCCTCTTCACCCACGCACACCCCCGGGGGCTGAGACGGGGTGGTGGGGAGGAGAGGAGGAGGCCGGCAAGCTCTGGAGCCAGGGTTGGGAAATGGGAATGTCTCGCGCCCAGGGGGGATGAGTCGCGCTCTATTAAAAGCCCGTCCTGGCCCCGGTAGCAGCTCGGCCGAGGTGACTCACGGGAGACACCCACCATGGGCTGGGGCTAATCCCGGAGCCGGGCCAAGCTGGGGGCCAGCGCACCATGAACACGCGTGGTCTGGCTGCCAGACATGGGGTGGGGCTGCCCAGCTACTAGCAGAGGGCTGAGGGGAGTCTGCCACACAGACAAGGAGCCCCGGTCTTGTGGACTCATTCTGTGGGGGGGAAGGGTGGGTTTCCCGGGGTAATGGGGCAGGAACGGGAGCCAGGGCAAGACTGGGAAGAGGCTCTGGGAAGAGAAGGGCCCAACTGGGTGGGGGTCCAGCCTGGCCGTCCAGTGCCTTCCCAGCTGATCGCAGGCTTCTCCGAGCCCTGCTCGGAGGCTGGCACCAGAGGGCACACTCACGTTCACACTCACGCTCAAGCCTGGAGCCAGCCCCGCCCCCAGGGCAGAGGCGAGCTGCATACCCAGCACCTAATTAGCACTTCATTAGCTCCCTGGAAACAGTCAGACTCACTGGGCAGAATGAACTGCCTGACTGTCCGTCTCAGACAGCGCTGCCCAGACAGCTGAGCACCCACTCCCCCGAATCCTCGGGGATGATTGGGCACTGCCATGGGGAGCACTGGCAAGGACCCTCCCGCCTGCCTTCCCCCCTCTCCCGCCGCCAGCCCACCCATCACCAGCAGCTGCTGTGACCCACCGGCACCATGACAAGGACCCCAAGCATCGCCCTGAGACCCCCTGGCACTCAACCGTCTGCATCTCACCCAGTGCTGCGCCTGCAAATTCACCCCCAGCATCCCTCGTGCCCACACACACCTGACCACGGTTTGGGGTCACCCAAGAGGCAGGCGCGATAGCAGCCGAAGTCCCGTGTGGTGTGGGGAGGACAGAGCCCCTTCGAGGCCAAGCTCCCAGGCCAGCAATGGGGTGCAGCAGGTGCTGGGACTGGCAGGGTTGGGCTGGGGTGCCCAGAGCCACCGCTTTAACGGCAGCTCCTGTGGGCAGCGCTGCGGAAGTGTCCCCCTGTCCCCCCCAGCCAACACTTGGTGTCAGGGACGTGGCTGAGGCCCCCCTGGGGCCATGCCCCTTGGACTGGCTCCTTCTGATCCCTTTGCAAGGCACGTGGCTGGGATGAGCCGGAGCCTGGGTGGAGAGGCCAAGCGCTGGGCTGGGATCCAGGATCCACGCCGTGCCCATTCTATCTCCGCTATGGCTATGGGTGAACAGGCCCCGTGCCTCAGTTTTCCCACCTCCTTCAACTCACACCCGAGCCGAGCACTTAGGGCACGGCTGCCCTCACCCGTACCATGAGACCCCTGCCTGCTGTACCTTGCTCATCCACGACTTGCGCTTGCACATGGCTTTCCTCCTCTTCACGGCCTCCCACAGCCGTCGTTGGCCTGTGGAGACAAATGCCGTCACCCATGGGCCCAGGGCGAGCTGGTGCCCCGGCCCACCCCACCCCGAGCCTTTCTGCCAGGAGGGAAATGCAAGCCAGGGTAGAGGCCCTGCAGCCTGTCAAGGGAGCATCGGCCTGGGGTGCCAAGCCCTGTGGGCTGCAAGCTGGAGCTTGCCCGGGCCCAGCACCCTGGGGAAGACCCCCAATAACGTGGTGGGGGACAGAAGGGAAGGAGAGAGGGCAAGGAGTGTGGGGTCAGGGCCGTGGCCATACGCACCCGGGCGCCCCATACCGATCTTCTCCAGGTCCTCATTCTTGACATACTCGAAGTGTGAGAGGCGGGTGACGTTGAGGTCGTCCCGGATGCGAAGGAAGTACTGCTGCAGCTGCACCTCCGTCAGCAGCTCCAGGAGCCAGTCTGTGCCCTCGTCTGCCTGCATGCTGCAGCTCAGCTTCTGTGGGGAAACAGAGCCGGGGCGTGGGGTGAGCAGGGCACATAGACCCCGTACTGCTCACAGCGCCCCGAGACAGCCCACAGTGCCCACGGCAGCCAAGGAGCACTCACCCCGTGCTTCCTGGATGAGGGAAGATGATGGGCAGCAGCCCACTCACACCCCTACAAGCCTAAGCCTTGGGGTTGGGGCGTCACCAGCCCATTCAGAGACCCCCACGGCAAGCCCAGGGGGGCTGGGATGGGGACAGGCTGCAAGAAGAAGGCACCTGCAGGCTGAGTGAGGCCATCGGGGAGCCCCAATTCCACCCGGCATGGACCCCATGGTGCCGCAGCAGGGCCCTGGGCAGAGCTGTCCCATTTGCTTTTGGGGGATGTGGAGCTGGCACGTGTGATGGCACCAGCACCCTGGGAGGCCTGAGGCAAGGTGTGATGTGCTGGTGCCCCCACCGCCGTTCTCAGGAGGTTGTCCCTCCCCTCCATCTCTGAGGCTGGTGCTAGCTGCCCACTGGGCACCCCGTGCATCCCCTGCCCTGGTCCCCGCTGGCCTCCAGCTGCACATGGGGTGCACTACAGGCTGCAGCGGTCTCCATGGCTTTGCCAATGCACCACATCTCCCTGCACCGTGCACGGCTCTGCTGAGCCGGGAGCTCTCTGCCTCTAGCCCTGCAACATCCTGTCACCCCCCAGGCCTGTCGCTACCAGAATCACTGGGACAATGTGACCTGCTGCTGCATCCTTCTCCGGCAACGACCCGCGTGTCTCCGGGGCCACGGGGAGCGGCGCAGAGAGGCCAAGCGGCTCCTGGCTGCTCTCGTTACTGCTGGAGCATCATGCAAGCTGGACTGGGCCCTGGGCTTGGAGAGCACGGTGTTGCTACCCTGTCCAGCGGAAAGAGAGCCACGAGGAGCCCGGGAAACACACTGCCCCTACGGGCTTCTCTTCCAGGTGGCACTGGCGGCTTGAAGGGTCCCCAAGGGGCACATGGGATGGAGCGGGCTGTTCCCCGCTGCCCAATGCAGCAGCCCAAGTGCCAGCCTGGGGGGCACCTGGGGCAAACCAGCAGCCACATTCCCTGCCAGATTAGGCATGAAGCAAGGGCACCGTTTCCAGCCAGCCACTGGGTGCACTGGCCCCTGACCAACCCAGCTCCCTCCCCATGCCAGTGATGCCAGGAGAGGGCAGGGCATCAGGAGGGTCCCATCTCAGCTGTCGCAACCCCTCCAGCGCTGCGGCCGCGGGGAGCCTGGCTCTGGGGGCGGGCGCAGCTGTGCTGGATGCAGCTGGCCGAAGCGCCGCCCGCCCTGCCGCCCACCAGCGCTTCGTGCCCCCTGGCACCGCCACTGCCCGGCGTCACGGCCAAGTGCAGGAGGACCCGTTTCCCATGACCATGTTTGGTGCAGAGGCCGGGGAAAGCCGGGCTGGCTCCACTCTCCCCAGCCCGGGCACCCCTCCCCTGCTGGGCTCGCCCGCATGCACACACGTGTGTGTACATACGTGTGCAACTCTGCCCTTGAGGACAGGGCTGGGTGTCTGCTCCTGGGCAACTGTCTGTCCTTCCTGTGCCACGGGGGCTGCTGTCCACCGGCAGCCCTAGTGCGTGGGTCTGTGCACGCCTCCATCGACTTCCCCAGGAGCACGTCCACGGCTGGCGTTGCCCACGAGGGGCTGAGCCAGACTCAGAGGCCCCTTGCCCGGGTGGGGGCTCCGAGGGCACGGCCGCGTTGCCCACGGCTCATCCCCCAACGGGTCTCACATGCATGCCAGTGTCTCGTGCTAGGACCCTCAGTCCAGCAGCATCCCCTTCCTCAGCCCCACGCCTGCCACGAAGGCCTAGTCCTGCCAGCTGCCCCGGAGGGCATGGGACACCGGGGCTTTCACCACGTGGGGTAAAGACGGGGCAGAGGGTGAGTGAGCACCTGCATCACATGGGAAGAGGTCTGTGGGGATAGGCAGGGGAAGTCTCCTTCAGCGCAGGCTCCCTCGATGCCCTGCCAGCCACCTCTCCTCATGCCGTGGCACCGTGACCGGGGGTCCTGCAGCCCACACATCCCAGCTGCACATCAGCATCTCCCCCCTGCACGGTGCTCTGTGCCGCTCTTGGGAGTGATCCTCTGCCACGGCACCTCTGCCGGCACGCACCTCAGATGCCAGCCTCCTCGGAAAGGCACCAGCTTGTACAGCACCTAGCGCAGCGGGGCCAGGGCAGCTACTGTGAAGAACGGCGCAGACGCTGTTTGCTCCGAAGCTGGCCCTCCAGGTCCTGGCACTGTGGCTTGCTCCTGGGGGCACCCCGCCTCTGTCTGCTGCACCCCATCTCTAGCTGTGTCCTGCCTGGCCTTTTGCAGCCCCCCGAATACCAACCCACTGCTGCGCCTCTCTCCACGGACCCCCAGCCCGGGGGCCAGGAGGGGATTCTTGGGTTACAGCCGCTCCGAGCCGCAGCGCGACCACTAAAATTCCCTGCGCGGCGGAGTCCAGTCTAAAA